ATTTTTTAAAATATACGTATTGAGATGAAAATGTCCCAACAATTGCTTTAAAAACCCTTTCCCTTTTGCTTCTGGTCTAATTGGATTGATGCCCACTACATAAATAAAAGGGCATTTTCCTCCTCACTCAGAGCCTCAGGCATTAGCAGAAATAAAGGCAAAGATACAGGCAGCTTCTCTAAACCTGAAGCCCAGGTCTGTACTACTAAGGAACCCCTCCAGCTCTAAAGCATTAACCAGAGCGTAAGAGGTGAGAGAAAGGAATATGCCAAATTCCTGAGTACTACTGGTAATGGCTAAAACTGGCTAATGTAGAGTTAATCTACTTAACACCACTCTGGTGCCTCAATATCAGAGTAAATGTATTAAAATTTGTGTTAGCCATTTTAAAAAAGAAAAACAATCACTTTACTGTATGTGTGCTATTCTAAAAATAAAACATGGTTTGGAAAAATAAACATCCAAGAATAACCAGGAAAATTCTGAAAAAAAGAATCCAAATGAGGCAGAAACCAGCTTTTCCAGATATTTTAACATTTTATTAAACTAGAGCAATTAAAATAGCTTGGTACTGATGCATGAATAAAGATGACTAAAATTATAAAACAGAAAATCCAGACACAGACCCCTATACTTACAAAAATTCAGTATATGATAGAGGTGGAATGTTAAATAGGAAAAGATAAATAATCAATGGTACTGGGACAACTGTACAGCAAAACCATCTGAACCAAACTCAAGTGAGCTTCCTAACTCACTTCCTGTGTGAAAATAGTATGCAAAATAGTATTTTATCTCAGGTGAATGAAAAATGTGAGTGCAAAAAAAATAAGGACATATAAAAAGAAGAAAAAAAGCAAGGCCATAACAATACTAGAATAGTTACTAATTTTAAAAAAATCTTGGTTTAGATGGCCTTATTGTTTTGTCACAAAAACACAAAAGCCTTAAAAGGCTGTTAACTCTGACTCAATAAAAACACACATTTTGCATGCTAAATAGTATGATCAAAGTCAAGATGCAATAAAAACAAAAATATTTGTAACTTGTATGACATACAGAACAAATTTTTTAAAAAAGAGTTGCCAGATTAATCAAAAACCTAATTGTGTAAACCAAAGAAAAAGATACACAGATGGCTTTAGACCAGGATTTCTCAATATTTGCATTACTGACATTTTGGACAAAAGAATTCTTTTTGGGAAGGGGCTATCCTGTGTATTTCAGAATGTTTACCAGCAATCCTGGACTCCAAAGATGCCAGGAGCGCCCCACCTCAATTACGACAATTAAAAATGTTCCCAGATATTGTCAAATGTCCTATGAGGATCAAAACCGCTTTAAGGACGACTGCTTTAGTTCTCAGCTTAAAACACCCATACTTTACAGAAATAAAGAATGGCGGTTGCCAGGGGCTGGGGAAACGGGGAATTGTTTAATGGGTATAGAAAATGTTTTGCAAGTTGAAAAAGTTCTGTAGATTGCACATCAACGTTAAAATATTTAACACTACTGCACTGTACAGTAAAATACTTAAGACAGTAAATTTTGTCACGTGTATTTGACGAAAATTTGTAAAAAAATTTTAAGTGGGGAAAAAAACCCTCCCCAAAGATACCCATACTTTGAGATTACTTTGTTAGTAATTTGAAAACCACTTTTAAAACGCCCCATTATTTAATTATTCCAGAATTAAGGGTTCGGAACAAGGAGAGACTCATGCCGAAAGTTCCAGTGACCTTTCACCTAGAACTGCGCGTCCTCAGTAGGACACCCAGCTACTGCTAAATCCAAGCGGAGGCCACCCTGGGAGCGGCGGGGTAACCCGCTCTGGACTCTTTACCCTGTGGAAGAGATGTTCATATGGCTGCCAGCCTGAAGTACATAACTTTAGGCTACTTTTCGGGCGTTACGGCAGATTCTGAAAAGAGCGTCCAGCGCGGACCAGCGCTCCAGAGCGCGCCGCAGAGTGTCAAGACCCTCCCACCGCCGGGGCCGAGGACCCGGGCCAGCCACTCCAGCCTCACCGAGCCACGCGCTCCGCCCGGCCGAGTCTCTCCCCGCGGCGCCCCCATCCTCTTACCCGGTGTTGGGTAACATGGCATTCGAAGATCACAGTCGATGACGGCACCTACTACAAGGAGCGTAGGGCGAGGAGCTGACCACTTCACCGCTTTCAGCCGCGTCCCTCGAGGTCCCGCCCAGACGCCTGCGGGTAAGGGGCGCTTGGAGTCGCGGAAGGTCGCTGAGTGCGCCTGCGCACGCAGGGTCCCACACTGGCGCACGGCGCTAGTTTCCGCCTCCCCCGCCTTGGCCCCTGAAAAAAAAACAAAAAACCCGCTCTCTGCGCAAGCGCTGTGAGAGACAACTCTGCCCCGCCACTCTCGCGTTGACTCTAGTGACAATCAGTCGCGCATTATTGTCTAGCGTACTGGGCGCGTCAGCCACTGTGTACGCCTTTCCCCAGACAGTGCAGGGTTCCTCGTCGCCGTTCCTTTATCAGTGGATGGCCGTTTGAATGGGGTACCAGCGACCTTGAGGGGTAGGGTGCGGCTTCTGCCTTGGGAATGCTTTGGCGCTAGGTCTTCTCTGCCTCCACGCCTGAACCTGGGCCCCTGGCCAGCTCCACGCGCTCCCTCGAAGGCTCCCAATTAGGACCACTTTTCCTCGGCAATTGGGCACTGGATGCAAAAAAGCCGGCCAGCGTCGTGTTTCGACTCCCTCAGAATGTGGATTAAAGCCGTTCCGACTTGCGCGAATGTAAATAGTCGTGTGGGAAGCTTTTGGATCAGAACTGTTTGCATTACTGGCGCGGAAGAATTCATAATTAACTCTGGTCATTCGATTCTTAGCAAGTACTCGGTGAGGGAACTCAGTGCTGGTTCCAAGGTGAATTCTGGGATAGACCATGCATTGAACGTAGCTTAGCTACCTTAGTGAACTAAAGACGCATATTTTTAAAGGACGCATTTAGAAAGTGTATTTTGAAGGGGTAGAACAGGAGGACAGGTGGTTATATGAGTACTAGTTGAAGAACCTAGCCTGGAGACGGATGTCTCCCATTTTTTGCAGGCCTTAACTAGTTCCATTTACTCGCACTTGCTCCTCTCAGGCATTTGAATTTGCGGTCCATGATATGCCCTGTAGCTTCCAAAGAGATTTATTCAAAAAATATTAGCACCTATTAGGGATACAGCAGTTCAAAAAAGACAAGGTCTGCCTATGTAGGAGGAATGAGGTGTAGCCAATATGCTCTTTAGATTTGTAAATATTTAGGTGTTTTAGAGAATGTTGATAGGAACTGCTACATGAACAACACTCGAAAATGAAAAGACAACTTACTGAATGGGAGAAGTATTTGTAAGTCATGTATCTGATAAATTCTAGTATACAGAATTTATAAAGGACTGTTACAACTCAGCAACAGAAAGAATGAACAACCCAATTAAGAAATGAGCAAAGGATCTGAAATACATTTCTGCGAAGAAGATATGCAAATGAACAGCAAGCCTATGGAAAGGTCCCAACAGCATTAGTTACTAGGGAAATGCAAATCAAAACTACAATGAGATTCAACTTTACACCCATTAGGATGGCTTTAATAGAAAATAATGGAAAATAAGTGTTGGCCAAGATGTAGAAAAATTGGAACCCTCATACATTGCTAGTGGAAATGTAAGATGGCACAGCCACATTGGAAAACAGCTTTGTATTTCCTCAAAAAGTTAAACATAGTTACCAGTTACTGGATGTCGGCATGCAAAAGAGCAATTCCAGTCAGGTATACACCCAAGAGAAATGAAAACATGTTTAGAATAACCACCAGATGGCACTGTTATGTACGAATTCAAAATTACATAATAGCAAAATGTTAATATCATGATATACTACTCTGGCTTGGATTAAGGTAAAAAATAGCATGAGGTTCTTGATAGGACTGCCACAAAGGGAGTTGAGGTAAAAATTTTAAAGAAACTATATCACTAAAAAGGATGTGATAGTCTAATAAATGGTCAAACTTGCTTTGTGACTTCTAAAGCCTATTAATTAGCCAATATTAAAAAGTATTTTCATCAAATAGATTGAAAGTGCCAACTTAAATTGAAATACTAAAAGACCTGACATTGAAAACAACTTTAACCTTAAATTACTAAATAAGCACTCTTCTAACCCTGACCTTGCATAAGAATATACTTTTTAAAGTGTGTAGCAGTAATGTTTTTAAGCAGTAATATTCAAGTTTGTTAACTAAAACCCACATGAAGAACTAAATTCTTCATCCAGACCAAGTTCACAGTTTTCTGTTCTACTTGAATCTATTATATCTTATCCTGTTTTAAAAAAGTGTATCATAACTATTTTAATGATTCAATGCATCATAACCTATTATTTGGAAAACATTGCTTTGTTGTAATGTGCCAATGTGATTTTTCAACTTGCCTTTTAAGATATTCTAGGCTTCTTCAGTCAAATATAAAATTGCTAAGTAATGGTCATATGTTTGGCAGATGCTTTCGGTGCCTTTGGAAGAATCAGGGAACTTGGGAAGCTTTCCATTTCCTCAAGACAGCCTGTCTGGTTCAGCAGGTTAAATGGGGAAATTCTTGGGTTTTAAGGATATAGTGGTTGCTTCTGATAATGTGCCAAGCATTCCCCATAGGACCCCTAGCTATGGGTTTTGTTGCTCAGTGAATTATTGCCGGTCATTGCTTACTTAATGACAGTTACATATTAACCTCATTGCTGTATTTTAATGTCTATATCGTTCTGACAATATATGATTCCAGCAATGTAGAGAAAGTGAAAATTTCCCTCTAACACCACCCTTTGGAGATATCATTGTGCACTAGTAGTATTTCCCTAGAATACATTCCTAAAAGTGAGGCTGTTTGCTCAATGGATATGCACATTTAATACCCTTTAGCAAGGTTGTGCTAATAATTCAACCAGGACTTCTCAACCTTGCCACTATTAACCTTTTAGATCAAATAATCCTTTATTGTAGGAGTCTGTCACATGTACTGCAGTATGTTTAGCATTCCTGGCCTATGCCCACTACATGCTGTAGCCTCCCTCCCATGTCTGTGTTTATTCTTAGAATAAAACTTGACCATTTTTAAATGTATGGCTCAGTAGCATTAACTATATTCACACTGTACAATTAACACCACCATCCATCTCCAGCCCTTCCAGTTTTGACAACCAAAAATATCTCCAGAAATTGCTAAATGTCCCCTGGAGGGCACAGTTGCCCTGTTTACACCAATACAGGCTTGAATGAGAAATCAAAAGTGCCAATGTCATTTAAAAAAGAAAAATAAAGGCTAAGGATCCATAACAGATTAAAGAAGACTAAAAGGACATTACAACTAAATGAAATGTGTGATTCTGGACTGGATCCTGTATAGAAAACAAAATTTTTGCTATAAACACCATTAGCACAATTGACAAATTGGAATAAATACTACAGATTAAAGAAGTGTCAATGATAAATTTTCTGAATTTCATAACTATACTGTGGTTATGTAAGAGAACTTCTGTGTTTTTAGTATAAAATATTAAGGGATAAAAGGAAATGAATATGCACCTACTCTCAAATATGCAATATATAGGTGTGTATATTGGAGAGAGAGGGTGCTAAAATAAAATGTGGGGAAATATTTTTAAATTGTTGATTTGAAGTGGCGATACATGAGAACTTTTGTTATTACAACTTTTCTATAAGATTAAGATTAATTCAAACTGAAAAGCTTTGTTATACATAAATGAGAATGCTTATAGCTCAGACTGTTCATTGCCTACCTATGCTTTTCAACTCCCAGTTCTTGCTAATATTGTTTATCCTTGCCTCAGAAAAAGTAACTGTAACAGCTCAGGATAAAACCCTGATTAGCTAAATCAGTGGCTCTCAAACTTTAGTGTATCCCAGAATCACCTGAGAAGCTTATAAAAACACAGATCAACGGGCCCAAACTCCAGAGTTTCTGATTCACTAAGTCTTGGACAATGGAGTTGAAGAATTTGTAGCTCCAACAAGTTACCAGGTGAAGCTAATGTTGGTTGGGGTGCCAGAATGTGTACGCCGGTAGTTCTTAACATTGTTTGCAAATTGGAATCACTTGGGGATTTTCTTAAAAATTCTGATGTCTGGGTCTTACTCCCAGAAATTCTAATTAGATTGGTATGGGGTACACACAGGTAAGTATCTTTTAAACCCCTCAGATGGTTCTAATATGCAGCCAAGATGGACAATCACTGATCCTTCTCAACATAATCCCATTCTCCTCATTCATACCTTATTTAACAGTGGACATGTTATCTAGTTCTGGCAAATGGGAGGTCTACTGGGAAAGGTTTTCGTATTAAGAAAAAGACCACAGAATAGATTTCATCTTTTCTTCTAGACGTTATTTATGGATGTGAGGCTTGGAAGGTGGCATTTATCTTGCAACCAAAAGAAGAACTAGGCTTTTCCTTTCCTGTAGCTCCTTGAAAGGCAAACTTTCTCCTGTAACATACATAAAGGAAAGGTTAGGGTAGGGAGCAGTTGATTCAGGACCCTCCTGAGTCTCCCAACTAGCTTTATGCTCCTCCTAGTGCTCCAAGGTACACTGTGGGTTTTCCTTACTTTGCAGCTGGCCATCTCTTAGAATTTCAGGAAACAGTTCTCTCAGTAGACAACTGCTCCTGTGCATGAGTACAGATCATGCCGTATTTTACTTTCTGCCCTATTGGTCTATTTACTTTGCCAAAGAGATGATGCTCACATGAAGGAATTATATATATATATATTTGCTTTATATGACAGTTGCTATGTCGAAGACTGCTTATTTGCCTACCTAACATGCATTCTCCATTTCTTTTTAACAACAGTATCTCTATTATTAGAGGTGTCAATATGCCCAGTAAAAACACTGCATATCTCAGACTTGTTTGCATTTGGGGATGGACGTAAAAAGGACACCTAATAAAGCTTCTTCACAGAGCTTCCAGCCATTCTGTGACCTTAACAATGAAAGCCATAGAGTGCCTTAACAGTCCTGAAACCACTGCTTCTAGATTTCTTTTGCATGAGAAATTTTTATCTAATTAAAGGCACTGTTATTTTTAATTTTCTGTTATGTGCATTAGACCTAACTCCTAAATGATACTCTGACTCAAGGCAAAAGTATCAAAAGAATATAAAATATTGCAGGGGGTTCCCTCTTGAGCACACTTAAATCTGGAGCTTTGTATCTGCTTTTCTCCCTAAAAGTATCAATGTTGTTCAGATTTCCTTCTTTAAAATTGTCTTGGAACCTCCACCCCCTTTCAGGAGATCCCATGACCCTTTCACAGAAGTTGGTCTCATACCAGGATTCATCCTCCTTTCCCAA